TGCCTTCGGCTCAGGTCATGGTCCCAGGGTCCTGGGATTGAGCCCCACATTGGGCTCCCTGCTCGGCAGGGAGCCTGCTTCTCCCTCTCCCACTGCTTGAGTTCCCTCTCTCGCTGTCTCTCTCTCTGTCAAATAAATAAATAAAATCTTAAAAAAAAAAACAAAAAACACACACACTACAATTTACATTAACACTACCAAAATTAAATGCTTAAGTATAAATCTAACAAAATTGGTACAAAATCTATATAAGAAAAACTACAAAACTCTGATGAATTAAATAAAATAAGAACTAAATAAATAGAGAGATAGTCCATGTTTGTAGATAGAAGACTCAATATTTCCAAGATGTCATTCTTCCCAACTTGATCTACAGATTCAATACAATCCCAATCAAAATTCTAGAGAGGTTTTTTTTTTTTGGTGGATATCAACAAACTGTTTCTAAAGTTTATATTGAGAGTCAAAAGACTCAATAGCCAACACAATTTTGGAGAAGAACAAAGAAGACTGACACTATCTAACTTCAAGACTTACTATAAAGCTACATTAATCAAGACAACGTGGTATTGGTGAAAACATAGACAAATAGATCAATGGAATAAAATAGAGACCTCCCAAATAGACCTATATAAATATAGTCAACTGATCTTTGATAAAAGAGTAAAGGCAATACAATGGAGCAAATGGTTCTGAAACAACTGAGCATCCACATGCAAAAATGAATCTGGTCACAGACCTTACACCCTTCACAAAAAATTAACTCAAAATGAATCACAGACCAAAAAGCAATGGATCTCAAACCTAAATGTAGAATGAAAAACTACAAATCTCCTAGACTGGAGATAACGTAGAAGAAAACCTGATAACCTTGGGTATGGTAATGACTAGATACATCTGATAATGGTAGATACATCACCAAATACAATATCCATGAAAGAAATAATTAATAAGCTGGACTTCAAATTTTTTAAAAATCAAAAACTTCTGGAGAGCCTCGGTGGTTCAGATGGTTAAGTGTCTGCCTTCCCGCTCAGGTCATGATCCCAGCGTCCTGGGATTGAGTCCCGCATCATGTTCCCCACTCAGTGGGGAGTCTGCTTCTCCTCCCTCTGCCCCTCCACCTACTCATGCTCTCTCTGTCTCTCTCTCTTTCTCAAATGAAAAAAAAAATCTTTAAAAAAATTAAAAACTTCTATTCTGCAAAAGTCAAGAGAATGATCAAACAAGCCACAGACTAGGAGAAATAATTGCAAAATAAATATCCGATAAAGGACTGTTATCCAAAATATACAAAGGATTCTTAAAATTCAACAATAAAAAACAAATAACCCAATTAAAAACTGAGCCAATAACCCTAACAGACATCTCACCTTCTAAAGAAGTTATACAGATGGCAAAAAAGCATATGAGAAGATGTTTCACATTACATGTCATCAGGGAAATGCAAATTAAAACAACAATGAGATACTACTACAAACCTATTAGAATTGCCCAAATCTGAAACACTAGCAATACCAAATGCTGCAGAGGATATGAAAGAATAGGAACTCTTATTCACTGCTGATAGAAATGCAAAATGGTACAGCTTCTTTGGAAGACCATTTGATGGATCCTTACAAAACCAAATAAACTCTTACTATATGATCCAGCAATCACACTCCTTGGCATCTATCCAAAGGGTTGAAAAGTTATGTCCCCACAAAAACCTATACATGGATGTTTACAGCAGCTTATTCATAGTTGCCATAACTTGGAAGTGACCATGTTGCCTTTTAGTAAGGTGAATGGATAAACTGTGGGACATCTAGACAATGGAATATAATTCAGCACTAAAAATAAATGAGCTAGTAAGCCATGAAAAGACATGGAGGAAACTTGAATATATACTACTAACTTAAAGAAGCTAATCTGAAAAGTCTATGTACTATATGATTCTGACTATATAACCTTCTGGAAAAGGCAAAACAATGTAGATAGTAAAAACATCAGATGCGTCAATGTAGGATCATCGATTGTAACAAATGTACCTGTCTGATGGGGGATGTTGGTAGTGGAGGAGGCTAGGAGCGTGTGGGGCAGGGGGAACATGGGCAATCTCTGTACCTTCCTCTCGTTTTGCTGTGAACTAAAACCACTCTAAGAAAGTCTAAAAAATTGGGGAGCCTGGGGTGCCTGGGTGGCTCAGCCGGTTAAGCGTTTGAGTCCTGATTTTGGCTCAGGGTCCTGGGCTCCATGCTCAGTGGAGAGTCTGCTTGAGATCTTCTCACTCCCTCTCCCATTGCCCCTCATCCCATTTGCTCTCTCTCTGCCGCTCTCTCAAATAAATAAATAAGTAAATAAATCTTTATTTAAAAAGTTGGGGAGCCTTATTACTATGTAATGCAGTTGTGTCCATTTACCTTCAAACTGAAATAGCATAGCAGTTACTATCTAAAAGTTTTCAGTTTTGCTAAGTTGCTAGGCTGTCCCTTTCCTGGCTAGAGAGAGCAAGATTTTTTTTTTTTTTGGTGTTTGTTTGCACCTGTTACTTCTTCTGGGTTACCAGGTACTTCTTCAGTTCCAAGACTGGGGTTTATGAGGTAAAAAGAAAACCCAGGAAACTCATTACCATGTTGTTCTTTGGGGCCCAATATCCCTACCTAGCTTTACTTCTTCTCTCAGCCTTTCAGGACTCTTAAGCGTTTTTATATATAATGTCTAGGGTTTTTAGTTATATTTAGTGAGAGGAATAAGGAAAAATACGTCTAGTCTACTTTTCCAAAATTGAGTATCTCACAATTAACTTTATTTCCTGTTCTCATTTTAGTACTCAATATGTTTCTATTTAAAATAGCAACAATAAGACATCAGGTCACAAGTTGAGTGTCTACTGTGTAGCAAACAAAGGTATACCATGTGAACTCCATAAATATTCAAAAAGTGTATATGTTTGTTCCAAAATGCATTTACTCTCCATAAATATTCAACTTCAGCATCAGCTTCCAGCGCTTTTGGCTTTTGGTGATTCTCCAGATTTTATCTCCTGATTCTTTGGAAAAGGAGATTTATACACCAGTTTTAGCCCAACTCATCTTTAAATCTGGAGTCTCCTTTTGTTTAGGAAGAGCCCCCATTCCAGGTGCCTTCCTTGATACCCTTGTAACCCCAAATGGGGCCAGCCAGATTCTAGCCTCTGGTGAAAGCATAATGGTTTGGGAGAATCAGACCATAAGTTTCTTCCCAAGGGCAACAGTTGGTAAGTCATATTTCTTGAATGTATTGTTTTTTGTTTTTTTGTTTTTTTGTTTTAAAGATTTTATTTATTCATTTGAGACACAGAGATACACAGAGAGAGAGAGCATGAGCAGGGAGAGAGGCAGAGGGAGAGGGAGAAGCAGGCTCCCCGCTGAGCCAGGAGCCCGATGTGGGGCTTGATCCCGGGACCCTGGGATCATGACCTGAGCCGAAGGCAGACGCTTAACCATCTGAGCCACCCAGGCGCCCCTTGAATGTATTGTTAACCTTTGAGCCAAACACTTGGTGTATGGTAAGTGTTCAATAAGCTATTATTGAAATGGGTTCTGATTTACTAAGGATAGACACTCCTTCTTTTGTGACGTAGAGATATAAAGATCTGAAATAGTCCACATGTACTAAATTCTTGCCATTGCAATTCTATTTGAAGTTCTATGTTGGGAAAGAACAGACTAGGGTGCAAAGTGTTTTTTAGATCTATTCCTTGCCCTTCACTGCTGGGCTTTGTATCACAAGGGGATCACCTCTATAAATTACATTTCCCAGGCTCCTTTACCAACTGGTTTCCATTCATGTTGGAACAATGGAGAACATTGGTGGGATACTGGGAACCTAAGATAATGCACTCCCCTCCCCTTTCTTTTTGTTTTGCAAGGCATCTGTGGAAGTGACTGACTCTCTAGTGGCTACAGTTCTCACTGGACAGCTTGTTCCTCGTATTCTAAGTTCTCCATCTGTTAGCCTTGGTTCCTGGATTCTAGTAAGACCGCCACTTCCCCTTTTCCCTCTATCTCCAGGAGTGGTAGTGATGCTTTTCTTCAATTACCTCATTTAAGTCTTCTCTATATTAATATTACCCCCGATTATCCCTAAGATCACACAGGTCATAAATGGTAGAGGTGGGATTTGAACTGTGACAACCCAACCACCAACTGTATTCATTTAACCAGCATGTTACAGCTACATCAGGCCATGGCAAGACTCCCAACCTTCCCAAAAGGAAATGCAGAATTTGAGAGTAGCTCTTTCCCTAAAGCCTGATAGGTAATTCAAGGCCAATCACATATCTGGGTTTTCTTTAATAGTCCACTGTAGATGGTATTTTGTATAATAGTAGATTGAGAAATCTAAGAATACCTAAAAAGGTATGTAGATTAAAACATTTTTGAGATAACAATGCTTATCTCCCTATATCATTAAATAAATGATACCATAAGTACTCCTCAACTTCTGTTTTAACCCACCACAGAGATTGAGCTCTATAATTTCTGAAGATATTTTTACCTTCTTTTTCATCCTCTTCATTAGTGAAATTTCATGATATTATGTATTTTTTTCCATAGAGATGGTGAGGCAAAAACTGTGTAGCCTATGGTAAGAAAGCTTGTTTCCATACATGCAACCACGAAGAAATCTCTTGTCATTCAGGTTAACCTCTCAGCTTGCTATTGACATTTTTGTCTCTTAATTTGTAGGAGGTAACTTCCCAATTGTCTTTGGAGAAGCTTTCAATCTGGCTGTCAGCTAAAATAAAAGTTTAGTGCATTCTCAGATGAAGTCTTTTACTCTTGTGGGTTAAGGATTTATTAATCAATCCCACGTCTATCTGGATTGGACTCTATACCCATTTTGAATTATGTTAAAACTCTAACTTGTCAACGTTACAGTTGAACATATCACTCTCCAGCTTGGCATTTTAAGGGGACATGGAAGACAGTGTGACAATTGAGTATTTTCAAAGAGAGTCAACAGGAATCAAGGAATTCTAATACATTTTCCTTTTTTTTAATAAATACATAAAGCTCTTTACCATTTTCCTCAATTATTTTGATTAACAGGATAATAGGATCTTTCAGATCATTATACCAATTTTCACAGCCTGATGTAAGGACTCATTTAACAGAAATAATCATGACTTGCATTAATATGTGAATGTCAGTGCCAGAACACAACAGCATAAGGCGTATTTACACCATCTTAACATACAGAACACCATACACATACACAAAAATATCACAGATCCAGAACAAATAAAATCAATCTCCTAGACAGTTTACATTTATAGGCTTCGCCTGAAACATTTTTTTTTTGCTTTATTTTTTTGTAATTTTTTTTTTCTTTCCAAGCAACAAACAGATCTTCCCTATGTCTTGTGATTTATTTGTTACATTGTGTTCATGCAAAAATAATAACTTGTTTTATTGCATTAACATTTAAACAGGTTTGGATTTGGGTCCCAAAACCATCATCTAACATTTTAATTGATGTTGCTTCATCCATACTGTCATTTTCGTTGGAGAGATACGATGACTTGTTTTTGGTGAGTTACAAAATGACAAACATATCCAGTTGACCACAGTTCAAAAATCAAGATTCGAAGCTTCTTGATCATGCACATTTTACTTTCATTCTTGCAGAATGGCTTGAATCAGATATGCCATTTTGAATAAACACTTATTATTTTTTGTTTTTCAAAATCATATTTCTAAAAACAACAACAACAACAACAAAAAAGAATGAAAGAAAATACCGTCCCACATCCACTGTTCACAAAAAGGGAGAGCAGCAAGAATCACACTGACCATCGTCAGGATATAGCCAGGTGGTGACACTGCAGTAAACGTCGAATGTCATCGAAATACCGCAGGAATGTGACGATTACTATAAGCCATACTTCTGCAACAGTTCAGACTGCCACTGGCGTTTGCGCTCTGGAAAATAATCTGGAATGTGGATTTTTTTAAAATCCTGAATACACTTTTTCATTTCTTCTTCCACACTTAGCTTCTCACAGACTTTCTTTTTGGATAGATTCGTTTCCCGGGACTTGCTGATGAGTGTCTGAAAGAGTTCGCTGTTTCTGCGTTTGTCTGGTGGGGGCATCCACTGCGCAGGTGCTTTTTTGGAAGGGCGATCCAATGTTAAGGTGCTGGGTTGGTGCGCTGTTGCCTGCTGGGCACCGGGTGGGTTGTCCTGGGGAGTGCTCGCCTCTGAGTGGCTGTCGCAGCTGGAAGTGGAGAGCTCATTACAGGAAGTCCCACTTTCACTTCCTTTATCTGTGACTTTGTCGTGTTTCCTATCTTCATGTTCTTGTTTAGGTGACACTATTTTCTGAGGTGGTCCTAAAAAGAAAAGAAAAGGAAAAAAAAAGTAGAAGAATTAAATAAGAAGTGGGAAGGTCAAATTAAATAAGTTTTATTTATTTATTTTTAAAGATTTTATTTATTTATTTGAGAGAGAGAGAGAATGAAAGACAGAGAGCATGAGAGGGAGGAGGGTCAGAGGGAGAAGCAGACTCCCCGCCGAGCAGGGAGCCCGATGCGGGACAGATTCCGGGACTCCAGGATCGTGACCTGAGCCGAAGGCAGTCGCTCAACCAACTGAGCCACCCAGGCGCCCCAAGCTTTATATTTTAAAAAATTTTTTAAACCAAGAATATTTATCTTCAAAAAATTGCTGTTTGTTGCATTTGAGGAATTAAATATGACACCTAGCTTTATTAATGCACATTGAAACATGCAGCATGCTGATTAATTATTTATACAATCAAGTTTAGGGGGTTTTCTTAATGAGCATTTCTGCCATCATAAATCATCAATAACTTCATGCTGAAAAGAAGATTTTTGTTATTTTAGTTACTAGTTCCTGAAATCTAAAAAAGATATAGTATGTAAATATCTTGTTAGTTCCATAACTGTTTCATGAGACACTTAGTTCATTTTTGTTCTAGTTATTGGGCTAGGAGTCCTTTGTGTATATATTTGCCATTATAAAAGCAGAAAGTATCATTGCTCTATTTTACAAAGTAGTAGTATTCTTCAGGCTCATAGGCACAATAGCCTCATTTATGTTTCCAAGTGGGAGACTGGTTTAAATCTTATCCTCAGTCTCTTAATCTTGTTTCCTGTCTATTTCCTTGAAGAGAATTATGAAAGTGAGGTAAGATATATATGTGCCTAATATTATGGTGAGAAAATATAGTTGAAATATAGTACTTTCTTAAAATACAAGGTTTACCATTTGAGGGAAATTACCTAGGAGGACAGTTTTCCCAGAAAGTGATAGTTTGCCAAGATAATTATTTCAAATACACAAACAGTTTACTTCCAAGAGGGAGCATATTTTATTCTTCTTGACTCTGCTGTGGGATTAGGACCTCCATTTAACATTTATTGAATGCCACCAGATACCCAGAACTATAATAAAACCTTGATTAACTAAAGCCCAACCATTGAGAAGTATGTTACTCAAATCTTACTTTTTTCCTGTAGTCAACTTTTATAAACTGGTTATATAAATCAGAATGGGGAGTGGGGTAAGGCATCAGTAATTTTAAGCAATTGCCCAGAAGATTCTATTGTGTAGCCTTGAGTTGAGAACAATTGGTCTAACCCATAGGGTCTCAACTTTGGCCACATAAGGAATTACCTGGAAAGCTTAGCTTATTGATGCCTTGGTCTTAACTCTAGATACTCTACTTTAATGAGATGCCATCAGGCCATCGGGCCATCTAATAGAACTAGGTGATTTCAATCTGCAGCCAAGATTATGAACCTTTCTTCAGTCTAATATATAGTAAATGAATTAATAACCAATATGAATACTTTATACTACTCAGAAAAGTGGGGAAACAAATCAACGTGTATGACTCTGACTAATAGACCCATGCTGGTGTTAACCATGTTTCTTCAGTGTTACTTGCAGGATCAGTGTTTCAAGGGCATCAGATTTGAGTGGTAATAATATTGAAAAGGAAATGGGTTTAAAGTCCTAGTGATCTGGAATCAACTTCTAGCTCTCTGGCAAACAGTCTAGTGGCCTTGAGCAAGATACATAGCTCCTCTAAGCCTCAATTTTCTCATCTGTAAAATGGGGTAATAGTACTTTCCTCATAGGTTGAGATCAAATGAAATACCATACTAAAGGGTCTAATACAATAAATCTCAACAATCAGCATGTATCACTGTGATTTTTTCTAATGGGCAGATGTTCAGGGCCACCTCTGGAGATTTTAGGTTTGCTGAAGGGTTTGTATGTATGTGTTTACGTGGAGCTCAGGGTGGTGGAGGAGGTGTAGCATCTATTTATCTAATTATCTTTCTGGGTGAGTGTGACCTCAAGCTAGCATGAGGACCGCCAGGCTACTCCAAGATAGGATATAAATAAATGCTTTTTATCTTTCTGTCTGTCTCCTGCCTTACTTTGACCAGAAATCCCTACAGAAGAGTCTATGATTTTCATTCCCAATAATGACTAAAAGATTAACTGCAAATACCTGGGAAAACCAATTTATATCTTAGGATAATTGAGTGATGAGAAATCATTTTTCTGTTAATAGGCAGGGGAATAGAGCATTTGGTAGAATACCAAGGCAGTAAGGTAACATCAGAGTGGAAAACAGTATAGAAAAAGGTATTAGGTATCACCAGAGCAAATGTTTCATTCTGATATGCTAGGGAGGGTACAGAGTTATATAAAGTCCATGTGTTAGCTAAATAAATTACATATGATTATTGTGCCTAATGGCAGATGGATGCAGAAACTCCACAATACAATAGAATGCAACATATGTGTGTTGGAAATGAATTGCTATTAAGTATAAGACAGAACATCCAGGAAGACTTCTGTGAAGAAGGCATTAATCAGTTTAGCCAATGGAGTTGTACTGAGTATCACTATGAGCCAGGCACTGTGGTAGGACCTAGAGGAGGCTCATAGTAAGTGCTCAGGTGAAGCGCACAGGCTATTTTATGATATTTTATACACTGAGTGTTTAAAATGCATGAACACTTTAGAATGTCTCCCACTATAGACTTTAAATTCTGAAAAAAAAACCGTGGGAACCTGAATTTATTATGATGTTAAGAACTTCTTCTTCTTCTTCTTCTTCTTCTTCTTCTTCTTCTTCTTCTTCTTCTTCTTCTTCTTCTTTTTTAAGAACTTAGAATAGGTACAGATATTAACCAGAAACAGCAAATATACACTTTTATTTTTCACTCCTTCTATTTCATAAACTATCTTTAAGCAAGCTGGGCTCCCATCAGGAGACCAAACAGATTCAGATGTTTCTATTATGACTTAAAGGAAAAGTTTTAACTTTATTTAGTCCACACTTTTGAATGTACAGAATATTATGACAGTTTTCTGTATAAATCACTGGGAGGAACAAATAGTCTCCTTTTGATTAATGTTAGATTTTTGGTAATGCCTAACATATTATGTATTATTATTGCTATTTGATTAAGCATACTTTAAATAATTACTGATAACTTAGTGGATTCAAACTGGGGCTAAGATACAACAATAAAATAATTTATGGGATTTTATGACATGAAATTTAAGAAAAATAAATAAAATTCAGAGGAAATTATGATTTACTCTAGTTGCTTAGTTTTCTTGAGAATGCTTGCTAATTGTAGGCTTCCAGGGATAATTTAAAACTCTAATTTTACATTATTCCATTCAATGAACCAAAGCCACATGAAATGCCCTAAGCACAAGATGAAAAATTATTTAAATAGCACTAAATCCAAGTCCTGCATATATGGGAACAGCATGCGTGTCAGAAACTTCTCTGTGTCTCTTCAACTGTGATAGAAAAAAATATATATCTAAATGATCTTCCTAAAAGCATCTTGCCTCCTGAGTTAGAGCACCAATCAGACTGAGTTTAAGAAGAGAAAACAAAATGTAATTTGGTGGTCTTACCAGCTGGGCTTTCTTCCATCACATAAATAAGCTCACTGGTAATTATTAGAATAAGCAACAAGTCAATGAATAAGCAAATCTGTTACTTATTTAAGACTTAACTTTTAAAAGGAGTTAATTATTTAAAAATATCCAATACATACGTATACCTAGAAACTTTCCTAAAAGTATTTGGACGATTAAATCTTTTCATTTGGCTATTTGCCATTAAATACATTAGGATTTTCATCTAGGAGTTGATCGTCTTTCAGGGGGAATGACAGCCTTACCTTGGAGACTTGCAAGCCAGCCAACTAGCTCATGCCTCTCCACAAGTATTATTTTTTTAAGGAACAGTCAGTAGACAACATGCGCACGCGCATGAGCACACACACACACACACACACACACTATACTCATTTATTATGCTCACATTTTTTTTCAGTGTGGGAATGGCCTTGGAAGATCTGGGTTTGAGCTTGGTTAAGTCACTCTAACAAAGTGCTTTGAGGTCGTCATGGAATCTCTCTAAAATTTGGTCTTTGTCCGTTAAAATGTTGGGGTTGGTCCCTAAATTCATTTATGTTATGAAGTTCAGTAATTCTAAATTATATAATGAATAGGAAGGGATTTTCCAGGCAGTAAAATTCTAATCAGATATTAAATATAAAACATTAATGAGTGACCATTAATAAAGATTACCTCTTAGAATGTGGAAACAAATTCAATTTCCTTTAAAGTACTTCACAGAATTACAGGGTTCAAGGATAACTTTCTCTAAGTTTACTGATAGGAAGTGTAGTTTAGAAGACATTATCAGTTTACATTTGTTTCATTAAATCTGTTCCTGTCATGGAAACACAAACAAAGAGAATAACATTGAAGGAGACACAGTGCAGACTGGCCGGGCTCACATCCTAGTTCGACAGTTTACTAGGTGTGTTTTCCTTAGCTGACTTTCTTTGTGCCTCTGTTTCCACATAATTGTGGTAAGGATTAAAGGAGCTAACACATGTTAAGCACTTAGGTGGTGCCTGGCATGTGTAAATCCTCACAATGTTAATTATTATTACTCAGTATAAATATCCCATGTGATTTGGCCATCGGTGGTATGGCCAATTTGTTTATTTGAATTTTGAGACAACTAATGGAGGAACCAAATATTTCCACTCTAACTCTGGCTCTACACGTGGAACCTACGAACACATGGCTTCCAGGTGTCTCTTAGCTTCTTTAGGCCTCAGTTTTTTATCTAGTAAAAATGAAATAAGAATAGAAATACCTAGTCATAAGGCTATACTAAGAAAGGAGAGAACATATGTCAAAGCAATTTGCCATGAAGTTCTCTCTGATAGATTTGAGAGGCTATGAAGTATTAAATTTTCATGTCCTAAAAGGAACTTATTTGAGAAAATAAAACACAAAAGCTCTCCTT